ACATTTACATTCAAAATAGTTCGTTAACCGACAGAAAATCATATTTTCAAAAGAGTTTGTAAGAGAAAATTTTCTACTGTTCTTATATGTTTTATTTATAAAATGAACTAGAGACCCTATATCAGAATCTGGTCACAAGCAATTTTATCAAAATCCTACAAGAGAGAAAGGTATATTTATTATTTCTTCCTGTATATATACATATATATAATCTCACTCTACTTATACTATCTCGCAATAACCTTAATTAAAGTTATAAAGTAAAATAGTATAAATTAAACTATATATATATATTTAAAAAAACTATATATATATAGTTTCATTGTAATTTATACTATTTTACTTTATAACTTTAATTAAGGTTATTGCGAGATAGTATAAGTAGAGTGAGATTATATATATGTATATATACAGGAAGAAATAATAAATATACCTTTCTCTCTTGTAGGATTTTGATAAAATTGCTTGTGACCAGATTCTGATATAGGGTCTCTAGTTCATTTTATAAATAAAACATATAAGAACAGTAGAAAATTTTCTCTTACAAACTCTTTTGAAAATATGATTTTCTGTCGGTTAACGAACTATTTTGAATGTAAATGTGCATCGTTTGCATTTCTAAAGAAAGGGCAAGCGTGTCAAAACAAATGCAAAATGCTTTTATTTCGTGGCTGCTTTGAAATTCATTCTGGAACGACATTCTTTTATGAGATTAAACGCGAGAATTTAAACAGTGGAATTTTATATCCCGGAGTAAAGCGGCTACGAATATACTAACAAACATACATTTTTTATGCAAAATCCGAATGTGCAAACTGTAACTGCTCGCAGATGCTTTAAGAAGGAAAATTGAATTCAAATTAGTTAAACTGGGGTTACTTTGAAAATCTAATTCAAATTAAGTGACCTCCTTCCGAACGAGTGCATTGGATTTAGCACTAAAGAACGACGCTTGATATTTTAGCTTGTTTAAAAAAACGTTATTATGTATTGTGACATATGTTACATGCACAAATATCCAATTAACATATATTTCAAATATTTGATTTAAAATTCTAGTTATAAACTTTTTACAAGTTTTTTATGGACTAAATAAATTTTTATAAATAAAGGAAGAATTGAAAAGATTAATAGTAAATAATCTATAATAATAAAAATTATTTATAGATTTCTGTATAAGCAGACAAAAAAAAATAATATATAATTAACCAAAAAATAATTACAGAACATTATTAGATATTTTTAAAAGTTAAATGCTTACGATTGGGAAGAAAACTTGCTGATAAGATTATACTATAATTTTTTTACCAACATCTTCTCTTCTACTAAAGTTTTTTAATAAGTTTCTACCAAAGTTTAACAATAAGTAAATGTCTTCAAAATGTAAGATCAAATTAAACTCTACAACCCCCCTCCCCCTTTTGCGTCGTAGCCTGACAAATATGTTGTTTATATATTGTATGCATAATAATAGTATTATTTTCCCATCTTTATTTCAATATAAGTTATTATAGTATGTTATATTATTTAAAAAAAATAATATAAATTATTGATTATTACTTTTACATATTGTGTATATATTTAAAAGATGTCTTAATATCGAATAACATTTTAACGATGATTTCTTCATATCAGATATACGTTTATATTATCTTGACAATGGAAATTTTTAATCTTTGATATTAAATATTTCGGCTTTATAAAGCTTTCAATAAAAATCCTTTAATTTATATTTTCAAAATAAATAGCTTTGCATTGAGATAATTGCCATATTCTTAATTTTTGATAATAAAATTTGCATTATAAAAAAGTATTAATTTTAACAATTATCTTTACTTAATTCAACAATATCCATGATACGTTTATTTAAAATTGATGTCATACATCCAAAGAAAATGTCAATGTATTCTCTCGTGATTTCGGAAATGTTTTCGGTTTGTAATTGCGTAAAAATTAGTTTCAGCGAAATTAGATATGACTCATTGAGAAGAAATGAAGATTTATCGAAATTTTTAGTAGATGAATGTTGCACTTACCACGATTGAGCGAATTAATTCCTCGACAAAAATTCATTTCTTCGACAGACTTTCGCGACGTGCCTGGCAACTTCCTCCCTTTATATATTTTTTCTTTTTTGAATAATTTCCTGCCATCGATTATGCGACCTATTTTCTCATTTTCCTGCGCTATCATCGCTCCTCCCCCTCCCTCAATCTCTCTCTTTCTCTTTCTTTTTCCTTGATTATTTTATCTTGGAATAAGAATGTTATATCGTTTAAGAGTTAAAAAAAAGAAGAGAATAAAAGCGAGATCTCGCAATGCGCATAGATCGCAAAGTTTTTTTGACATCTTAGGATTCTTAAAGAATTCATATATTCACCGAGAGAAAACGGAGTTTTTACCTCACATCCCAGATACTTTCCATCCTGGTTGTATGTACGATTGCATAATGCACAGTACTATATGCTGCACCTTATGTTGTATATAAGGGAGATTCTTCTTTTCTGAAAATTTCAATATAGAAAAAATTTACCAAACTCCACTTTTTATAATTAAAAATCGAATAAAGAGAGATAGCTATTACTTTAATATTGATCGTTTCAATATAATTACATATCATAAAAATACTCTTCATCGCAAAATTTTTTATTGGATAAAATCATAAAATCAATCCCGCTCAAGAGAGGAAGTCTAAATTGCCTTTGTCGCACATTTCGCCTTGGGATCATCGTAATAAATGACTTCATTGGGGTAAAATTACAGGTCACCTTGTTTTTACGAGTGCGAATAAATCCGTTCTTTCGATAAAGTGGAAAAAGACTTGTTATAGATGCATTTGGATTAGGTTTCTTGCAATAAACAACTTCCGCCAATGAAGAACTAATATAATAATACAAATAGAGTTTATCTTGTTTTATATTAAAAATGGCAGGTCTTTTTAGAGAACTTTCATTCGTTCAAATATAAAATAAATTAATTCTATTCTTATTAAAAAATATTTAACTCTTAGTACACATGATTGGATTATTTGTGTCCTACCATTTTTTTTCTTTAAAATACTAAGAGCACTTGGCCAAAATACCGGTCTCTCTTCTTTCTAAAAAAAATTTGATATTTAGAGAATAAGTTTTGTACATTTCCGGTTTCAATTCGTGTGTATCCTTTGATTAGAATAACTCGGAAGTTCATCTCTGGATCACAAATGACTCATTGTGCGTACTAAGTACAGAGTACTTTTTCGTAAATAAAAAATTTTTTATTTTTTTCTTTATGTTTAACTAAAAATTCTTGTTTGTATTGCGGGAATACTTTGCGAATTATAAAAAAATAATTATACATAAAAGTTTCATAATTATTATACATAAAAAGATATTTAAATGTATTTATCTTATTGCAATATTTAAATAACTGTTTTGAAATTTGCGTAATAAACTTTATCGTATTATTATTTTTGTATGCAAAAGACTCATATTTTAAATAGAAAATATTTACTTTTTCTAATTTTCAATATTTTTCTACAATATTTTCCGACACTTTAATATTACTATCTCATTATATATAAAATTATATTTTATATTTTTTATTTTTTTTCTACAGAACTTCTATAATATACTTTCTCAATATTATCAGAATTTTTTTACATTTTTATATTATTATTCAAATAAAAAAATGTAAAAAATTACGTATAAATATTTTTATTATTTTTAATTTAATAATAAAGAAATGTGAACTATTTCTAATAATTAAAAAAAACACTTAGGAATTATAACCGTGAAGGCAGATCCCGCTATCGCATAACTGTCGATCTTATGTAATAAACGAGTTTCATTGTATCATAAAGAATCTCGGCGACCTTGACCCAGACTTGTTAACGAAATTATGAGACTGTTGGCAAAGCCTAGAAGAAAAGATTCAAGGCTGAGGCGTGCAGCTAAAGACCTATATGACCTTCAGTTAATTTTTTTTAGAAATTTTTAAATCAATTATTAAACTTGGCTCTGAAAGTACAGTTATTATCGATCAAGATCATTTAGCAAAATGATTCTTGACTCGTAGTGTAATTGAACTAAATAATATTTTATATTTATGTTTGCTTTTCGCGTAAAATACTTTATATAACTTTCATCGAATAAATTTGCAATCTCGTAAAAATTTTTTCTCTTACGCATTCTATTTTTCTATTTCTTGTTTTAGGATACGGTCACATTTCACCAAAAACGAGAGATGGAAAAGTAGTGACTATTTTTTACGCCATTCTCGGCATTCCGCTTATGTTGCTCTGCCTATCAAATATCGGAGACGTGATGGCGACGAGTTTTAGGTAACAGATAATGTTTAATCATATATAAATATAAGTTCCAATAAGTTATTAATAAAATAAAAAAATCTTAGCAAAGTTTTTCGTAACAAATATAAAATATTTATCTACTATTTTTCATTAGCGCTAAAAATTGTTTTTTTCTTCGGATTTATAATATTTTTAGGTTTCTATATTGGAAAGTGTGCTGTTACGTGTGCACGAAACCACCAAAAAAACGACGAGGACGTAACAATCTGGTTAGGTCGTATTCTGTTCGTCAACCAGGGTAATTTTATATATAACATAAAAATTTTTTTGTAATATTTTGTTATACAAAAAATGTAATAGAAAGAAGAGAAATTAGAAAAAGTGCAAATCTAAATTTCATAAAAATATAGTACACCATGTAATATGTATAAAATAAAAATTACAAATCAATAATGTATTAATATGTTGCACAAGAAGAAGGTTCCTAAACATTTATGAATTTTTATTTAAAAATTGAATAAAAATTAAATAAAATTATTGACTTTTACATAAATTAATCTGTGTCTGGTGTAAATAAAAATTTATGCACTATTACGTAGTAATATGAAAAATTATTATTTTTTACAAGGCGGTATGGATCAAGTAGAGGTCCTTTTCGTCGATCCATCAGAGTGAGTCAACGATCAGCTGACTCGGCCTTAGGGCTCTCCGAAAGTATGACAAAATCTTCATACTCTGATACTGATTGTAGGTAAGATCATTTAATCAATTCAATTAGTGACCTTATCTTTCAAATAACAGTATATCATAAATATAATTTTTCTAATTATTTGCTATCTAATTAATGTAACTAGTTAGTAATATACTACACAAATATATTTAGATTTAATTAAAAAGTTATAGTAATAAAGAATAAATGTATAAGACTAAACAAACTGTAGGTATATGTCTCGACGAATGGAAGGAAATGAATCAAAACCAATCGGTTATACACCTACAAATCATCCAATGGAAATTAAGGCCGCAACTATGCCACGTTATTCGGATATTCCAATGACTCCGAGAAGCATAAGAGGTATTTTTTAATCGATTTTATCAATTGTTTATTTCGTGTTAATTTTAAATTGATTATAAAGTTAACAGATAAAAACAATATATGTAAACAGTTGTATTATCCCAAACTAATTTTATAAAAAAGGATATTATTTTGTTGTCACACAGACAATCAAAATACAGAAACAGATGTATAGCGAATAATTAAATTTTATGTTAAATTTAATTGAATCTCTCTATCTCTGCTGTTTACTTTGTTTGTTATTTACATAATAAAAGACTTGTAAACGACATGTCGGTGTCACATATGAAATCACACAGAATTACACGAGCGAAATACAAAATGCTGCCGTTAGATATTAATTAATAAATTAATTCAAGCGCATCGATTGCGCCACATTACACTCAGTATCGACTCATCGATTAATTAAACAAATCGGCTGATATGCATTATTTGCATTACCGCGTACAGCCAGTCCCAAAATAACGACACAGTCGCTGGACAGAAAATTACTGATGAATCCGAATGAAGCGGATCGCTCACCGGTTTTGTGCAACAGATATGCATTGGATGATTTGGAAGATGAAACGTCGAGGTGGCAGTTGTCTCAAAATAAAGGTGAGTATTAATATATCATTAATATTATTAATTATACATCAATTATAATTCTAGAAATTGTAATTGAAATACGAAAATGAATAATCTTTTTTTCTACATAAAAAAATACTGGCATATTATTAGATATTTATTGTTAGATATATCGCATTATTCCAAATGATATACTATTCGTGCTATTTTGTATATGATAACACTATTTATTAATTCAGGATTCAAATAAATATTTATTTAAAATGATGAAAGGCACTATACTTTGAAACATTTGAAGAAATTAAATAAAACCGACGCTATTACAGTCGAGAACTCAGAGAAACCGCAAAGCACAGAAATGGTCGAAGAGTTGGACGGCGTTGAAAAGCGAACTTCGTTTAGCCCCAGATCTTTGCCGAGAAGATGTCTTTCTGTAGAAGGAGCTACGACGACGAATAGAGCGAGTTCATTTTCAGGACACCGACCAGCTTCGATCTATTTGGAAATGGAATATATGAAAAGATCCCAGTCTAGCAAAAGTAGACGCACTAGGAGCAATTATTCCGTTGGTAAGTGAATGGCAATATACACATAGATTAAATTTCAATCAGATTAATTGAAAATAATCGATTGTTTTCGATTATTTATTTTGATGGAAATTTTGAATAGCGACTGAATTATATTATCTAAATGACTTATGTAAATGAATATTGATATTTAAATGAGAGAATCTCTCTCTCTCTCTCAAGTTTTTAGAATAAAAATGATGATATATATAGAGCATAAAATGTTTGCAATTTATATTTATATATCTAATTTAACTTATATTAAATATATTTCTCATTATCGAGCATATCCAAATGATTCAAAATTATTACGTTGTACTTGCAAATATTCCGATTACCAACTGAAATAATAAGCTAATCAATAATGCGTACGCGTATTTTCTGATCGTCAAATTGGTTAAATATCTTTTTCTAGCGCGTTCTTATAAACGGGGACCGCCGCCGTCGCCTAGAATTATGTCTCCGATGGGATTTGCCGTTCATCGACAGGTTTATGCCGATGATATTGATTTTGATTACGATTACTATTCTGGTACGGATGATCAGGAAAGACAACCGATCAAGCCCGTGCCTATTTGGCTGTGTGTCTTTCTGGTCGTCAGTTATATACTTGGCGGCGCTTACCTCTTCAACCGATGGGAAGGTTGGCCGTTCCTTGAATCGGCTTACTTCTGTTTCATCACGTTGACCACCATCGGTTCGTTTCCCAATAATTAATCATTCCTTTTTCGCTGTTTACCAAAAGATATGATGCCACTGATTATTATTTTCTAAAGTTCATTCCGTTGAAACTAGCGGTATAGCAATCTTATTAAAATAATGTATATTCATTCGTAACATTTCACAGAAAACATACAGTAGACATATAATATCTGTGTATCTTTTGAAGGTCTTAGAGGCTCTACTTCTATTTTTATCTCTATCTATTAATTAATCTTACATTTATTTTGAACGCTATGACATGAAACTGGCACAATTTCCTATCTTCTCTATTTTAAGGTTTTGGCGACTATGTGCCGGCGTTGGACGCGCAGAAGGGCATCGCCCTTTGTTCTCTCTACCTGCTATTTGGAATTGCCTTGCTGGCAATGAGCTTTAATCTGGTGCAAGAGGAAGTCATCAACAACGTGAAGAGCGTCGCGAAGAGACTGGGTATCATCAAAGAGAGCGATGATGAGGAGAAAGAGGAGGAAGAAGCCGAGGACTACGACGAATACGATGCCGAGTATGAAGATGAGGTCTATGAAAACGAGCCCAAGCTCTGATTTTGTGGTTTTCAGCTTACTATTCGACAAGATTTGGGACGCGAGTCATCCATCTTCATATACATAGTACAAGATTCAGGGTGTTTTATCTAGATCGATATGTGTCAATTTCGTGACACAGATAGGTTTGATTTCTCGTGGATCGATAGTTTTCAATCTATATAGCTCTTTTACGTAAGTCAAGAATAAACATAAACGTATGCAATTAGATTAATTTAAAAACGCAATTTATTATTTCAATTATATCTTTTTCAATTTATGGATACTCTAATTATTAAAATACTGTACATCTAGATATTATTATTACTAAAATTTTAATTTCTTAGGACTTTCAAAGATCTTTTAATTCGGAAACTTTTCATGCATTATTTACACAATATTAACGCGACACTGAGAAGTTAATTATTATTATTACTTTTTGTTATATATTAATAAAGTAATCTAATTGTAAATTTGGTAAAAATTATTAAGATGTTTATTTATTTAATGTACATTATTTATAATAATTTCGATTTATTTTTACGTACTTTAAAAATTTCTTTTGTAAAAATAATGTGACACAAAGACAATAGCAAGCGCAACGTCTCATTTCATTTAACTCATTCATTTAACTTGCTCAGGAAGCTGTGGAACAGCTAAAAATCTGAGACCGTACATTTCCATAAAATAGTCCTACGTTCCAGCAGTCTCTTAAATTTTCTTCGAATGCACGCGACGCGAGAATACGATTATCTTCCAACGGGCACGATATTTTCGTGCGGCTTACTACCTTCTGCGCACAGAAAATTGTTCTTACAATATTTTCCCGGACGCACTTGCCGCATGCAAAATTCACGCTTGCTATGCAAATCCCTTTCATCCTCTTTGCGACCCATACATATACGTTCTCCTACATTTTCGCTACTATGCTCGCAGTTGCATTTCGTCGTTTAAATCGCGAGGACGTTAATCGTCTCGACGACGGCGATGGCGGTGGCGACGGTATCCAGTTAACGGCTCCGGTTTCAACGACCCGATAATCGCGCGATAAAGTCCACTCAAAGAAGAAATAATAGTCGCTAAGAACTTTCGTTTGCGTCCATTACGAATGAACAATCCTGCCACCGGCGAAATCTGCATTTCATAAATTTTAAAGCCGACTGAAATGACGTGTCCCTCTCTTTCTTTCTCTCTTTTTCTATCTCCTTCGCATTTCCTTAACGTCATAAAATTATTCTCTATGAAAAAATTAAATATTTTTACCTAAATATATAGATCAGTGAATGATTGATCAAAGGATATATTGTTAATTGATCATTTAAATTAGAAAAGATATTAAAAATTGACGAGAAAAAAACTTTTATTCTAAATATATTTTTGTTAAGATTTTGTTTGACTTTTTTAAATTAAGTTAACATTTCAACATTTTGTGCACAACTGGATCATCGAAACAGGTTTGTCTATACCGGGTGTCCGACAAGTCTGGCAATTCGACTGGCTGTACAACTAGACCCAGGCGACTTGAACTCAGTTATTTTCGGCGACGCGCTATTTTGGGATAATGCATGTCGTGACGCGGGGTGCCACGGAGAAATCAGTTTACGGAGAAACTTGGTCGAGATGGGTTGTTCTCTGTATGTTTGTGTACCGGCAATTATAGCTCAGATTCTATCTCGATTATCGCCAAACATGGATCCTTTCGCAAAAGCGTAGTGCACAATGGGATGTCATCGCTCGAAAATTAATTGCTCGTTACAACGTGTACGTGTACGCGCGTAATAATGATGTAACGAGAGTATCGGTCGAAGGAGGATGCCGAAGTCGAAACAATTAATAGTCCACGTACTGTATTATTTTGAGGAATCGAGGTGCGAGGTTTTCACAAAGAATCACAAATATTTTTAAATTAATCGCGATAATATCAATAAAACTCTCAGAAAAATGATTTATAAAAAGAAACGAAAATTATAAATTAATAAGTAATGCATCTTTCTAACACGTGATGACGGCATCTTATAATAATATCTATTTAGTTAATATGTTAGTGTATGCGTATATGTGTACATAGTTTTCGCAACGAGAATTAAACGCAGAAATCCCATCACACTTGATATAACGCACGAAAGATATGAGGTAAATGTTGATTCCAAGATTTGATTAAATATAAAAACTTTTGAAAATAAATATTCAGAAATGTTTCACCGCTCTAATATTGAGACAATAGTAAAATAAGAAACAGATTCCAATATTGCATATTAACTTTTATAAATAGATTGATGTTAATTCTTTACAATATTTTAACGTTAACATTCTATCTATGATAAGCCATCTTCATAATTCGGGTTTGAGTTAAACATTAAAATAAAATATTTTGGCAAGTTTATAGAATCATAATAGAAAAATATTTCATATTAATTGTGTGTTAAAACATAGAGACTTGAACAACGTGTAAATCTTGTTTCGTTCATTTATTCTCAGTTTGCGAAAATTGTCTAGAAAAATGGAAGAAATGTAATTAAAGTCAGATTACATCCTATGTTGACGACTTCGAGGAAATGTCGATCATTTTTCATGGAATCGTAAACAATTTTACAATAGATTTTGTTAAGCAGCCAAGTGGCTCATCTCTACTACAATTGCAAAGACGTCGTGTTTTTGATTCCCCGTGGACCACGGAGTCGATAGCAGATTCCGAAAGTCGACTGTCGCGAAAGTAAAAGAGATTCGAAGATCGGACATTTCCCATTAAATTTGCCGAGTGTAATTTTCCATTAGCCTCGGTCAGTGCTCGCATATAAGAGTTCGTGATCTTCT